TAAAGAGTCTCCATACGCCCTGCACGGGGGAAAGAGGAAATGCCCAGGGCCTGCTGTATTTACACAATTATTGCAAGGTTTAAATATAAAAAGGCAACACAAACCAGACTGGATTCTCTGCGTGGGGGAGGCCTCGTTCTTAGATTTGGAGAGCCTACGGGGTGAGCAAAAAAAAAAAAAAGTACAAGAGTTAACTTTACTTAGGTTTAATAAACTGCACTAAACTAAAATCCTTCAAAAGTTGCCAACTAAGAGAACAGAGATATTCAGGTGACTGCAACCATTTATTCCACAATTAGCAAGTTTCCGAAGGCCACTGCTACAGTCCATAGAAAATAGTGGATTATCTTCTCTCCTGGACCGACTCCACTGGCTTCACTTGGAGTGGGGCCAGCAAGAAAACTGGCCCCGTGCTTAGTTTCCCCACGGCTGTCAGAGCAGTAACATTCACAGTGCATTCTGCCATAGGACCTCTGACAGCTTCTTGCAAAGGCCAAGTGGGAACATTTCCATTTTACAGACTATGCAACCAAAGCCCAGTGGTTAAAGTGGCTTAAAGTAACAGCAAGCAAACGAGAGCAGGGGGGACAGAGACCACCTCCCTGCCTTCCTAATGTCCTGCACCAATGCAGAGACAGACCGGTTTTAATAGAATTATTCTTCAAGGGACTCCTGTTACATTGTGCTCTGAAGGACCGTGAAGATCTGGCGATAACCTTAGAAATCTGCTCCCTACGACAAGGTAAACCAGGGTCATCTTGGAGCTGGTGAAAGGAAGCTGGGCCAAGGCTGGCGAAGTGAACGAGGCCTGTACTCACCGCAAACCTATGTCCAAATCACCCACCTGAAGCTGCATGGGCAGGTCCCTCTCCCTCGCCCACTTCTCTCTGGCTTGCCTTGCAGTGCTACCACTGAGCTAGGGTTTTCCAGACTTGGCATGATGTGGGCCATACGTCAGCATGCAAATTCTCAGAGACCCACCTGCCCTGCCATCTCCTTTGCTCTACCTCCATCCCCAAACAGGATTGCCCAGCACCCCAGCGGCAACTTGCTCACACAGAAGAGCAGCACTCGTTGTAGCTCTCACTGACTCGTAAGGCAATTTAATCAATGGAAAAATCAAAGAGGACAGCTAACGGGGCAGGACCAGCTACCTCTTCTTGAGCCACCAGCAAGTACAACCCACCAGGGGAACCCGGAGCAACCTGCTGCGCTCATTCCCGTCTTCTGGAGGAACACGGCTGCCTCCAAGGCTATCCACATTTCCTTCAGCTTCAGGAAGGGGTAGCACAAAAGAGTAGCCTGTTAAGTGCACTTTATGGTACACAGGTCAAGTACAAAGTTTCTGCAGAGGATTTCTGGGTTGAGAGTATGTGGGCATTGGCATAAAAATAGATAAGCTGTCCCCATTAAATGCTTTTGTGGGAGAACCTTTCCACTACATTAAGGATTTCTAGCAACTCCCATCAGAGTAGACCGAGTCTGGCTGCAGCTCAGGATCAGACAGTATTGTGCCCTTCTCGTTTTATGCCAGTCACTAAAGCAACAAGTCAAACAGGGCCCTTATAGAGCCAACGCTTCCAGGCTGTGATCCTGCCATCTAGAAAACAGCCCCGACTAGAGGCAGTGTGATCTGGGCTGAGCTCACTCTCTACAAAAGGGCTGGACTATTCCAAGTCTCCCCTTCTGCTCCTAAGATGCCTGTGACACCCAGATAAATAAAACCTCATGTGCGAATGAATGATGGGAGCCTAGCTATTGCATTGCCTTACTTATCTGTGCTCTTTGCGGTGCAATCCTTGCTACAGCGGGGGATCCCTGAGCCAGTTTCAAAGCCTGCTTGTCTGCGGTCATCATGGCATTGCCGTTCGAATCGTTGCAGAGGATGGGCAAGCTGATTTCTTTTTTGGTGATGTGGGACTCTGCTGCTTCATTTTCCGCTTGGGTTTCCTTATCGCTGGAGGGCTTCTTGTTCAGCAGGTTACTGATCTCCATGATGTTGCCTATGATTTCCACTGGCCCAGTTAAGTTCTTTTTCCTGGATGGAAGATCATCTTTTGCTTTCTTCAGGTAGGAGGCTGGGGCCCAGCCCTCTTTGCCTAGATGCCTGCATGTATGAAAAAAAGCCCACATTAAACTACCTTTGCAGTCCTTCCAGATACAGCTGCTAGGGCAAAAAACGATGAGGAAAACAACAAACTCCCACTTGCGGTTCCCAGATACGTTTTTGTGGTCTCTATTCACCCACATCTCGGTCTATTCTACTAGCAGTGAACTGTGAATGGCTGTAACAATAAAGGAGCTACCTATTGCCTCGAGGGAAAAAGCCAACCCAGTCCCCCCTTGTCAGGGATAACATTACTCATAAGGGAGAGCTTGTGTCAAGCCTGCATGCAGCCAGTGGCCTGAGACGAGATCGATGCTTTGAGCCCCAAAATACCAAGGAACCCATTCTCCTCCTTTGTCATTGTGCCAAATGGCATCTCTCATTCCCGCCATGCAAAGACCACAAGTTACCACAATTAAGGACTAATGCACTGAGAGGAAGGTCACCCTTAATTGGGGTCTTTTGGGGAGGACAGGACCTTGTGCCAAAAAAAGTTGTTAGCCATATTAGTCCGAAGTCAGGCAGGCGGCACAGACCAACTCTGGGGTGCCAGACTCATCTGGTCCTGTGAGCTGGATTGGGCCTGTGGGCTGCATGCAGCACATGTGCTGGTCTGGGCCAGTTTCACACGCGTGTGGCACAGTGTGCAGGTCTCGATGGAGACCTTCAGGCAGTGCCGTGAGCCAGATCTAGCCCATGGGCCATGACAGCCCTGGATTAACCAAGTCAGAGGACCTTGTGGGGTAAGCCCACTTTCCTCGAGGAGGAACACTATTGCGAAGAACTCTTCACACCCATAAACAACATGAACTGTGGCTTCCTCAAGTGGAGAAACTATTCGATTAAAAACTAACTCATATCAACACTTGACTTGAAAATTACCCACAATGGGGATTATTTGGAAATTGAGTTGTGAAAAATCTGAATGGACTCCCGACCCCAGAAGCACAAAGCTGAATTGACTGCACTCTGCCTCGGGCTGAAGTCGTCATTCCCCCCACACCAGCCCTTTGGGCGAGGCAGCTTTCTTAATTCCTGCTGTCACTAACCCTGCAGCAAGGATTTCAGATTAGGCTCCGGGGATGAGCCTGCGGGAGTTCATTTTCCTTAATGGAGCCCTACCTTGCTACAAAAAAGTCAGTGAAACATGCTTCTCTCTTTAATCTCTCAAGACACCTATAGCACGGGCTTAAATGAAGTGAGAATGTCATTAAGTGCTTGGTACTTGGGAAACCTGGAGGAAAGGAAAAGGTTAAAAAAAGGTGGTTCCTGAGCCTTCTCTAAGGAAAGTGGAGGTGGCCACCGAAGCCAGACAGAAGGCGCTGTGAAATTAGGAGACAGGCAAGTGACTCGTCCAGACGAGGGAACTTTCTTGATGGGGACCTTTGTATTAGCACAGAGGTTTCTTCTAGGACGCAAGTCACATTGTGCTCTCACTCACGGCATCGACCCTGGTCGCGGGGGCTCCCAGCAAGGGAGAAGGAAAGAACAGGTCCTCACCGTCTTGTTAGCTCATCCCCGAGGGTGACCAAGGAAGGCAGGAAGAGAAAAGTCATATCTTCAGAGGGTTAGACTAAAAGTTTTTGGCGGGTCTGGGATTGTAAGGAAGAGGACACTTAGGGCAGCAAAGCAAAAAAAGGCCACATTGGTTGCACTGACTGCAGATGACTATTCTCGATTTTCACTATGGGATTTCTAGGTAAGGTAACAATGGGCACCTCCACCTTGCACCACTACTCAGGGTAAGAAATTCAGAACTATGCAATCCGACTCCCTCTAAGACTTGTGAGAGCAGCAACAGTGTTGGCAGAGCTGCAACCAACTACAGCGGGCAATTTGGGGACCATTACATTTCTATCAGGCGGGTTGTGCTCCCTCTGGCAACCTGCATTAACGATCCTTAGAAGGCCACCCAGAGAGGGAACACCAACCGTTTAATGCCCAAACACAATACGGCAGGATTTGGGGATACCAGGCCCTGGGAAAGGCTTCTTATTACAAGAGAAGGGAAATTCAAGATTTGCCACGTACCGGATTTTGGTCAGTGTTCTCCCATGTACCACCCTCCTCGGGCCCTGCAGAACAGCCATCCCACCGTGAGCTAAGGAGAGGCCCTGTCCAACATCTTTGGTTTCAGACTTGCTATAAAGCCATGCCAAGCCACAGCTGTTCAGGCACATGATAAGGTTTCTTGTATGGGTGGGGGGGGTCACACGATGGTTATGCAGAGAAGAGCGGTTAGGAGCCATCGCCACATACCTAATTAGAAATGTCTGAACTGGAGCCCCAGGGTTAACACTAACAGACAAAGGGGAAATTCAGATCCAAAATTTCTGTTTCAGGCCCATCTCTTTAAGGACATTTTGATTCAGATCCCCATTTCATGACCAAAAGCCCTGCTGGATTAGTTGTTCAGAATGACCCCTCCACTGTTGCAATGGCCGTCATGGGCGCGCATGTGCACGCACACTTCCTCTGCTGGTTTAAAAGGTGACAAGCTGCTGGAAGAAACCGCTCTTTGCTGAGCAGGTAAGTTTAGGAAGGACCTCAAAACATGCTGTGCGTGATCCGATGGTCAAGGTCACCTACAGCAAAACGATGGACACAGGTAAGAACAACCATCGATGGTCATCTGCATCCAAGAGAGATGTAACATTTTGCACGGCAGAAGAGTAGCGGTGATGGGTAGAGACTCTAGGAGGGTTTGGTCATTTTTCAGCCTAGGCTTGGCCTTGCATTGTCAGAACAACCTGTTGGGTTCAGACGGCTTCACATGGCCTCAAACTGCTTTTTGCTGTGGGGAAACAGGGCAGAGCTGTTGAGCCCCCCTACCCATAACTGCAAGCGTCTCCCTATTGGACCCATTTCTTAGGTTGGGTCAGTAAGTAGGACTTGAATTAAATCACTACCAATGCCTATCAGAAGCACTTGGCACCTCTCCCCGTAAGGTAACAATAAATATTTTTCTCTTCTACGTGAAGATGGGTCTTGGCTTTTTGTTTTAAAGACACAAAACTTCACTTCACTCAGCTGTTCTCCCTCATTTCACAGGAAGAAAAAAAAAAATGGCACAAACCAAATGACAACACACACATAGGAAGACCTGTGAAGTTGGGGCAGAGAGATGGAGACACCAGCCAATCTTATGCTTTAAGTCACAAAAATCTTCCTTTACCTAATTCGCAACCCATCCCAGACCTATCATGATATCCTAGTTTCCTTTAAGTAGTACTACAATTTAGCGCGCTCCCATCAGCTGCACATCTCTTACAGAGGGTCTGAGAGTCATGCCACAGCAGGACACAAAAGAGCAGGCCAACAAGAGCATAGATCAGCACCTCGTAGGTCAGTAGAAAGTGATAATCCTGATCCTTCAGCAGGAGACCACCTTTGCTGCTCGCCTAATGACGACGCAGATGTGCCTATGCTATGTAACGACTTGGAAATGTCGGCTATTCAGCACAAAATAGTCGTGCAGGACACAGGCAGATCCAAGGCTGAACTCAACCGAATGATAATGATCCAGCTCGGAGTTTAAGACACTCCATGAGAGTCTGAACGCTTCCGAGTCCTCACGTAAAAGGGGCAAAGGAAGGAGGAGAAATGGAAACATTTCAACGCACCGGGGACTGCAAGGTAATTGGAGGGTTATGGGATTAGGGGCAAAGACTTGGCCTCTTGCGTGATGCAAAAACTCCTTCTTGTTAATATGACATGAAAAAGAGTTAGATCCAAGCCATAGGAATGTTTAAAAAAAAGTGCCTCCGAGTGTCTGAGCATTGGTTCTTGTAACATCTGCTTTCCAGCTCCAGAGCACTGGAATTACTCCAGAGGGAAGCAAACTGGGGGGAAAAAAAAAAAGAGACAGGAAATGAGGATCAGCACATGGCTAGGAATTTTGGGAAATTACATCTTTAAGGTAGAACAAGTTAACGACTTTAAGGTGGATCCCATTAGCAAGATGCTGGATTTGCTCTACCTGGGGGACTCGAGGGGACTTTTTTAGTTTCTTTATGGTGCTAGACTACAGATGAAATGGCAGCAGGATTCATCTAGAGACTCCTTTCCCCACACACCCTATGGAAAGGAGTGGGTCCTTTTAAACACCAAAAGGTCTGAAGTGGGATATGGGATGCTGAACAATAGGCAGGCTCAGTGCAAAGGTTTTCCAAAAAAATAAAATAAAACCCTATCTGTAAAAGCCCATAAAACGTTGTAATTGTACACAATGCTGATGCAAGCTTCAGGTCTGTGATCCCAGATTACAAGAAATCCTCTGAAGCTACAGAAGTATGAACAGCAGCATTGAGCATTACAGATTTACCCTTCTCGTTTCGCTCATCATGGAGACGCTGCTTGTAGGAGGACTAAGGAAGACAAGTCCTTGTCCAATGCACAAACTCCCAGAGAGTTCGGGCCTGACTGCAGCGGGTTTTTTCTATCATGTGGCTATTTGAAAAACGACAGACCCATCACAAGGTGTCAATCTCAAGCAAACTTATCAAAAAAGAGTGCCCTGCAGAAAGGATCCAGGCAACCAAAAGAAAATGTATTATGGTCTCCAAAGGCAGAGTGCACATCCTTGTCCCTCACAAAGATCAATAGGAGCCAAGAGGATGCATCTTCCATGATCAGGTCTCCTCGTATGGAAGAGCAATCAAATACCCCAGCAGTTAGCAGAGACCCGAATACTCCCCGTGAAGTTTTACAGTAGGTATGACAAGAGGGCAAACTGAAGTTCACCCCTTAATGACATGTAAATGAGAATGCAGGAATAGCTAATCACCCAGAGAAAGGCTGCCCTTGGAAGATATTGCAAGCCTAAAGTAGCAGTACTCAACTAAACCATTATTTCAAATGAGGGGATGAACTAAATCCAAGATGTTTTATGGAGGTTTCTCTCAAGAGTGGCATACTGCTTTGGTCTTCAAAGTGCCATGAATAATTAAGAGGAGGGAAAAAACATGAGAGAAAAAGCTATTCTAGATTTCATAGACATTAGGGGCTGAAAGGGACCTCATGAGAACAACAAGTCCAGCCCCCCGCCATAGGCAGAAAGTCAGCTGGGATCAGTGACCCCAGCAAGAAATAAATCCAGCTGCTTTTTGAAGGCGGCAAGAGTAGGTGCTTGCACCACCTCTGGGGGGAGTTTGTTCCGGACCTTGGACACACGCACCATAAAGAACTTTTTTCTAATATCCAGTCTAAAACAAAAAAATTGGCCTTCCTGGAGTTTATGGCCGTTAGACCTGGTTATCCCTTGGGGAGCTCTGGTGAACAGCTATTTTCCCAGGTCCTGATGCACCCCTGTTATGGAGCTGTAAGCTGCCACCAAGTCCCCCCTGAGCCGTCTCTTCTCCAGACTGAAGAGTCCCAAATCCCTCAGCCACTCCTCATTTGGCCTTCCCTCCAGGCCTTGGACCATAAGGGTGGCCTCCTCTGGACTCTCTCAAGCTTCTCCACAACCCTCCTGAAGTGGGGCCCCTAATACTGGACTCAGTACTCCAGCTGCGGCCTCACCGGGGCCAAGTAAAGAAGGAGGATGACTTCCCTGGTTTTGCTTGAGATGCATTGGGGGATGCATGCCAGAGTTTGGTTAGCTTTGCCTGCCACATCACATTGGTGGCTCATATTCATCTTGTGGTCAATCAAGACCCCCAAGTCCCTTTTGGTTGTGGTGCTAGCAAGTGTAGCGCTGCCGAGCCTGCAAGTGCACTGGGGGCTCTTCCTACCGAGGTGCAGCACCTTGCACTTCTCTGCATTGAAGGCCATCAGGTTTTGGTCGGCCCACCTTGAGAGCATGCCCAAGTCGGCCTGTATCCCTAGCCTGTCCTGTGGTGCGACTGCCCTCCCCCATAATTTGGTATCGTCCGCAATCTTGACCAGTTCACATCCAGCTCCTGAATCCAGATGCAAGAGGATAAGCAGGAAGGTGTCTTATACTATCTGTGAAGTACAGTACCTTTACCACTGCCTTGCATTTTATGGAATCAAAAGAAATGGGATTAAAAAAAAAAAAAAAAGACTCCCAGATTTGGCACGCAACTTCATGGCAGCATTCACCGAGCACTGCAACGCTGGCAGCTATACAAGTGTCGACGAAAAGGCAGCCCTTGACAGGCACTGACCCCAGTTCAACATGCACCCGGGACATCCTCGTCTCAGAGGGAGTTTAATGACTGAAAGGTACCGCTCTGAAAGTGACTGTCACACGGGAACATCTCATTTGTATGCATTATATCAGCAGCTGCCTAGGCCATATGGTCTTCGTACACAACTTGCACTCACAAGCAACTAAGAAAAGTCTATGATGAGCGTGTGAATAAATTTGCTCATTCAGCTTATTCTGCAGCCAACAAGTAGATCTCATACCCTTAAAATTGCCCTTTGTCCTATATAGACCACAACCCATCTTCCAGTATTAATAAAATCAGATTCGCCAGAAACTTTACAAAAATACAAGCCTTGTAGTTGGCTGCAGCACAGTAAAATGATGCACAAGATCAGTGCCACTTGTCAACTGGAATCTGGGGGGGGAAGGAGGCAGTTAGTTTTAAGGTATAAAAATCAACAAGGCATGCATTTTCCATCAGTACATTTCTTTAAGTCTACTGGCCCTAGCTTCTAGAACATTCCTGCAATCAATATTTAAATATTGAACAGTTCATCTTATAAAAAATAAAAAGGAAAAAAAAAGCCACTTTCCCATGTTTCTGGCTAGGATGCACGATGAATAAAAAGTCTTCCTGCCTTCTCTAGATAGAAGATGACACAGAAGGCCAACGCAAAACTACTTATCACAAGCCTGACAATCCCATGCACGGTAATGGATCTCCCCGCAAGTTTGGGTTTTTTTTGGTTTTTTACCTTATGTACCACCATCCTTCCAGGTTCTTTTGGATGACCTCCACGGTGACCCCTTTTTCGAACCCAATCTCATCCTTGCCTTGGCTGGTGTATGGCTGGACTGTGACATATTTCTCTTCTAGCAAAGGGAGAAAAGGCAACATCAGTTAGGGACAGAATTTGCTCAGCTGTCGTTCTGCTCTGCTCGGTTTTGCAAAACTGCCGTGCAGTGATTACACGGAGCAATTGCAAAGGCGGAACCCTGATCTGGGGCCTGCTGATTAGCTCTGCTCACAACATGATGGATAATCAGCCCCTCAACGCTATCCCACTGCTTTCCATGCCAATAATGACACAGTATCTCCAGAGAATTCTCCCCCCAAATTCCGAAGGGAGAGACTGAGATTTGAAGTTGGACTCAACTCGCATACTGTAACTTGACAGCATTAGCCTGGCTGCCAAAGCAGCCGAGCATCGCTGCAGAAGGCCGAGCCAGTTGGCTCTCGTTCGCAGATGCACGGAGCATTGTGTTACTGGAACTCGAGCGCTGGGTCCTGGGCGTGACCTGTCCTCCCCCATTCACAGGGACTGGCTTCTTAAGTCTATTGGCTTTGCACCTCTTGAAACAGGCTGGCTGTGCAGGGACCGCTACACAACAAGGCACCTCAAAAAAAAAAGAGAGCATGTTTGCAGGGTAAAGTGGCCTGCCTCTTTTATAGAGGCAGTGCCCTGCCTCCAGGGATGTCCAAGGGCTTTGCAAATATTCAGTAAACCCCACCCGCTGCAAAGTACATGGGCATTGCCGTTTGAGAAGATCCAGAGACAGAGCCACGTTGCAGCATGCCACTGCCCTCTGGGAAGATGAGTACGTCACCCCCACTTGGCATTTGGTGCCCATCTCCAGCTGTTATCCCCCTGCCATAAGAGGCACTCGAGAGCTGCACGGGAGGAACTAGGATCGCAACCCGGGAGTCTTTGCCCTGCATTCCCTGCCCTACCCACCGCATGAGGCCGTCACTCTCGACACTAAATGCACAGTATTCCTGCCCCAAGAAATTGAAGTGGTAACTACAGGTTTAACCTCTTCACTCGCACCAGGGGCTGTTGGCCAAAGCAGCAGGCTGAACCTGGGATTGGGGGGGGAGGAGTGGGGTAATATCACACTCAGTAAATTGCTGTAGCCGCTTAAAGGACATAGTGCACAGGCTCTAATGAGCATGCTGTCCAGGTTGCCCAACCTGTTCAGCCGCAGCAGAAGACCTGGAAAAAAAGAAACACAGAGCTGCGGGTACCCAGGTGAAGCAAAGGGCATGAATTTAAGTGAATGCCGACTCTCCTATCATCTCAAATGTGGAAGGGGGTGGAGAAAAAGGGTGCAGCTGCTTGAGGCAAATGCTCTTATGACAGGGAGTCAGACTCACCATTTATTTAGTTTTGTGGCTCGATTGCATTTGGTTGCTGGGTGAAGCATGGAAAAATTTAAAAGGGAAAAAAAAGAATCTTTTCTGAGACAAAGGAATAATTCCTCGTGAAGAGGGGAAAAAAAAGAAAGCATTGGCAGAGTACTGAACAGCAGTGAAGTCAGAGCCACTGTATCTTTAAAGTCAGCCTCCCTCCACTGGGTTCATTTGGGTCCTCTGGACACTCAAGTCCTCAGCTACCAAAACCTCAGGCGCCTTAAGGAAAACGTCTCCTGCTCCCTGGGGAAGGCTGTTTTTGTCATTTATTCCTGCAACTCTAAGCAACTCCAAATGGCTCATTTCCAGTCAGTGCCACCAGGACACTGTACTTTCCCTGCAGGAAAACAGGACCATAATACCAGGCTGCACATCTGTGGCTGCGGCTAATAAATCCCAGAGGAGTGTAGTGTCATGGGTTGAAGTTTTCGCAGAGTGGCTGGGGTGATGCAGAAAGGCTGGGCTTTACAAAGCTTATCCTGGTGTCAAAGGAGCATGTTAAACTTCCCCACTTCTGATGCGTGGAAGACTAAAGTGTTAAGCTGAGACACAGAAGATTTCCAGGTGATTAAAACTTGCCTTGGGTAGGCAGAAAAAGGCAGGCAGCCAAGTTGCTTCAGATACCCACACTGCTCAACATCGTCCCAGAAATATATTACCTGGGATATCCTGCTGTGACTTTTATAGAACGACAATATAAAAAGAGCATGCTAAACCATGTGTTTATTGGATGCTCCAGTCATGGGGGGAGTGGACATCACTGCCATCCCGTCAATGCTCCGCTGGCTCTCTTCCACATCCCTAAGGGCCCTTATAATAGAGGCCATCAGCACAGACTCCTGCCACAACAGCTACAACAAAAGCCGCTCTGTTCATCTTACGCCTCCTCCATGCAAGCAGCCATCCCTGTAACAGCTGCAGGCGCTTTCGTTTTGCCAGCTCACCATCCTGGGTGCCCCACCTCCACCCTCGTTTCTGGGCAGAACCCACGACGCATTGAAAAGCAGCACGGGGGGCTGGAGAAGGTCGCAGAACGGATCGGTGAAGTGCTTCCTGCTCAGGTTCTTCTGGCTTTCCCAGAAATTAAGCCACCGCTTCGTCTAAACCCACTCGCTGCGTGGTGGCAAAACCACTGACAAGGTGGTGTCTGCACCATGCTGGCCATGAAGGGCAGGGCATTTTAGAGGGAAAAAAAATGTCAGTAGAGGCAAGGCCCTAGCACACAGAAGAAGGGCCACCTTAATTATGAGTGTATTGATGAGCCAAATCTACCGGACTGGCAAAATGAAGGCCCAGTAGCATACAATACGGCCATCGCTACAGTTTTGGGGGTGGTTGTGTTGTACTGTAGACCAGGCCTGACTGACCCGTGCAAGGCTGCTGAGAAGACAACTCAGGTTTCCAACCTCTTCTCCCTTTCAGCCACAAGCCCTTCTCCCCCCTTCCAAAGGTCAGTGAAAACCATCCCTGCCCCCCAAAACAAGACTAAAGGTTTTCCAGCTGCAAAAAGCCCTTTGGTGAGCACTTTCTCTCTACCCCTATTTGTTTTCCACTGTTTGTGGACTGAGTTCAGGTTGATGGCCAAACACCAGAAATTGGAGCACCGAGATGTCACCAAAAGGGACTTTCCAGGTAATTTTCTCCAAGGCTGTTCAAATTATCTGGCCCATTGCTGGATCAGCTGCCTACTTTTCTGCTTTGTTACTTTCAGCACAAGGCCATCACCATCCTCCACATTCACTACATATCAGTGGAGGAGAAAACTACAAGAAAGGAGGAGGAAAAGGTACTGAAAGGGGAAGAAAAACCCAACTCATGCAGTGACATGTTTGAAAGGGGTTAAAAATCCATTTAGAAATTAGGGTCTCTACGATGCGTTTGTTTAGCAATTCTATTTTAAGCCTAGAGATCAAAAACAGGAAGCCTCCATTAAAGTTTCCCTTGCAAAGTGCTTTCACAGCAAAAAATTACAACCATCTCCAAAGATTACACACATTTGGTTTCTTTCAGCGGTGAAAGAGAGACCACAAATATACACAAGTGGGGTTTGTAACAAACAGCACTCTCGAGAGCTGGGCCTCCTTGCAACCCAAAAGCAATTCTGGTTTGCGCCTACCAAGCCTAGCCCTAGAAGCAGGAAATTGTGTGTAAAGCACAGATGAATGGGAGGCGGGGGGGAATTTTACATGGACGTCTTATCATTTAAGACACTGATCTGCATAGGTAACAAAATCGTATGCAAAATGCTTTTTAAATTTTTTTAAATAAAACTGGATCACTGAAGACTGATGCACTAAGTTACTGGAAGGGCAATGTAAATAATCAAGCTTCGTAGCAGAAACAGTACAATGCAAAGAGCTGGAAGCACACTTTGTGCTGTACAAAATGACATTGCTGTCATTTCACTCCTTCAAGTACTGCAATTATGGGTGTTGCCAGAAAATATACCAAGGCTGTGTACAGACAGTCACTTCTACCAGAAGAAATTTCTTGCAGCAGAAAAACAGCCTGAGAGGCAGACTACACAAATGTTGCTCTAGCCCCATGGCTGGACAGCCTCACAGGCAAGCTCTCCAGGAAAGGGCACTAGACTAGAGGGCAGGTCCTTGGGCCACTCAGGCCCTTATAGGAGCCTATTACTCAACAGCCTGTCTTCTCACCTGCCTGGCAGGCTGTCAGGTGTACGTTTGCAGCTGCTGAAAAGCAGCAGCTGCTACAGATAGCTGGGGACAGCTGCAGCCCTTGGAGAATCAGTCAAGCAGCATCATGACCCAGAGGACTGCATGGAGGGGGACAGCAATCAGCTGCCATAGCAAGGCTTCAGGATCCTTGCTGCAAAGGCATAGCAGCCTGCCTTGCCCTGTGCTGCTCTGGGAACTGGGCTTGGGAAAAGCCTCTACATGCAAGGCTCCTCCGTCTTCTAAATCACCACCCCCCTCCTGCTTAGTGGAGTAGGGGGATGCCAGGGAAGCTGATATGGCTGAGAGCCAGGCTTGCAAGCAGGAAGGGGCAGCTCTCTTTGCACTCAGCTCTCAGTGCCTGGGAACAGAGCAGGGGGAGCGGCATGGCCAAGCCATTGCTTGTTTCTTGCACTGAGAAACTCATGTGAGAAGCAGGTGTGGAGAGGCTAGGGCAGCTCCTCTCATCCAGGGGAAGTGGGGGAAGCAGCTAGCTGTCCTTGTGCCTTCTCCAAAGTAGGGTGACCCTGGTCTCAGGAAGGCATGGGAGTCTTTCCCCCAGCTCCATTCCTCCTGGCCCCCAGGAGTTAAGCCAAGACAAAGCATGCAGACATTCAGTCTCCTGGGAGAAACTCATAGTTTCATAGTTTCTAGGGTCAGAAGGGACCTGAGCAGATCATCTAGTCCGACCCCCTGCCATGGCAGGAAGAGCACTGGGGTCAAATGACCCCAATAAGGTGGTCATCCAACCTCCTCTTAAAAACCCCCAGGGTGGGAGCCTGTACCACCTCACATGGAAGCTGGTTCCAGACCCTAGCCGCCCTGACCGTGAAGTAG